CTACAGGGTGATAAAGTTTTAATAAAAAAATGCAAATTTATAAATATTGCGGAAACCGCTCAGAATATTTTAATTAAATTTTACAAGCTTTGACAGTTAACAACAATATATGTTTTACGATAAAAATATTGTTTCTAGTTTCACCAGTGGCGTGCGCACAGGCACGTCTTTGGATATTTTTAAAGAAAAAAATGATACGCCATTAATTTTTCTTAAAAAATTATTTTTGAATTCCTTGTTGAATTTGGAAGAGAAAAAGTATCTCGACTGTTTTTCTTATGACGCACCGTTTTCGAGTAAAAAAATTAAAATCGATTTATTGCATGGCGTAATCCGGTTTCAATAATTTGAAAAATAGCACTCTGACTCAGCTTTTTTGTGCCAATTTTATTACAAAAAAAATATTATTCCTCGCAGTTAACATCAATTTAAATTTTTTTATCAGTCTTTAGATTCACTATTTACTATCTAAACAGAAATTAGCGAGTTGGCTGTGTACTCGTTTTTGTTACTGTTTGACAAAATTAATAATAGCTGTCACTTTGAGTGTTTGAGTGTGAAGTAGTTAAGTGCAGTTTCTGCTATTTTTCAAATTATTGAAACCGAATTACGCCATGCAATAAATCGATTTTATTTTTTTTACTCGAAAACGGTGCGTAATAAGAAAAAACAGTCAATATACCTTTTCTCTTCCAAATTGAACAAGGAATTCAAAAATAATTTTTATTTTAAGAAAAATCAGTAAAATCTGTAAAATTTCATTAAAATATTTTGAGCGGTTTCCGCGATATTTATAAATCTGCATTTTTTTATTAAAACTTTAACACCCTGTAGATCGGAAACTAAGCGTTTTAGGAATATAGTATATCAAGGAAATATACCACAAATCACTTGTAATATAGCCTCCCGCAAGGAATGAATCGACTTAACAAACACCCTGTATTTTTCTATCTTGATGTTGATGCTCATGTACACTATCCTTGAACTAATGTAAGTAAAATCTCTTCCATCAAGAAAACGGTGATTAAAGTGAATAAATTTTATTTAGCTCAAGATACATACATGCTAGGAACAATACCTAATATAATTCTTTGCTTTTATATAATTATTCTTGATTCAAGAAATCTTTTTTTTGTCCGCAACAAAATTTGTATATTTGGAATCGAGCAATTCTGAAAAATATCTACAACTTTTGTATTTACCGTTTATAAAGGAGTAATAACCGAGATAATCCTACAGTCAAAATGTAATTAATAAGATGATCCTGTACTATTCATATAATCTGTTCTATAATGAACCCTGCCGAAAAGATTGAAGTAAAAGAAACTGAAATAGGGATTAAGCATCTACATACTTTTTCTTTTTTCTATAAACATAGGTTAATTAAAACTATTTATATTTACTTGTTTACATTTGTGGTTGTCATATCATCCGTTTTCACAAAGACATAATCAAATGGACGAGTAATGATGAAAACAGCACAGATCTCAATTTTCTTGTTTATTAAAAAACAGTCGCCTTTATTGATCGACCGTTTATGTTGCTGTAAGGTCAATTAACCTCAAAGGTCGCATTACAGGACCAATAGAATTTAATTAAAAGCTATTAACTTTCAGTAATTATTTAAATTAAGAATTATTATATACACGTTTTCGTTGGCTTGAAAAGGAAGGCTAAAAAATTTTCCATCTCGCAATTTATACAAAAAATCCAGTCCTATCAAAATACTTATGTATTTCAAGTAAATGTGTTTAATATTTCAGTGTTTTTAATGTATTATGAAAAACATTTTTTTCAGAAATTCAAAATTAATTTAAACTACTTTAAAATTAATAAAATTTACCGGAATAGTGGAAGTAACGTCCGAAGTAATAAAAAAACTGATTTATTTCTGGAAAACTTTTAATAAAAATAAATTATCAGAGCACATAAAATTATATGACTTCACGTGTTCATAAAATTTCCAACTGACACGAACTTTCAAGTTTACTGTTAAAATTAAGTTTAAAAATGCCTGCAAATACAAATATGACAGGACGTTCAAAGTTGTGAAATTTAAGTAAAACTATACCGAAATTTTTATCTTTGAAGTTCTCCGGGACCAAATAGTGCAAACTGTAAACATTACTTTTATTTTTTATGTACCTATCTAAATTTGCCTCAAAGCAAATAGTAATGAAATATCTAACTTGAGGGCACGGCTACTTTTTATTAGTCAACATTCCAGTGTATTTGTTTATGATGTCGTGGTTTTACATACATGCCCACGCTGAGACACCTACTGTTAAAATGAGCGTAAATAATATAGTCCAGTAAAATAAATTTTCTGCTCTTAATTCGGAAAATTTAATAAAAGATACAATTAGATTTTCTCGCATCTTCAAAGGTCTGCCCTCTAATTCGTAGTTTAAACCTACATTAATTTTTAATTTGACGTTCATTAAAATTGTGGAGAAAATGTTCACCTCGGTCTGAATGTCAATTTCCTTGGGATTAAAATTAATTATTACTTGGAAAATTTTAAATTCTACTTTTGCGATAAATGCAGCACGACAGTTGTCCATTTTTAAATCAAGTTTATCATTTCCGAATTGTAACTTTTAAGGAATTTTCAGTATAACTTTAATTATTAATATTGTTTTATAAAATTTTTCATCATTGCCTATAAAACAGAAAAATGTTGAGTTCTTTGGAACTTATTTCAGTTGCGTATTTTGATATTAGCGTATTGTAGAAAAAAGTTGTTGAAATTACAAAATGAAATAAAAATTGTGAGTTAAGTGCATGTATAAAATGATTAGAGGAAATTATTTTAAAAGTTCCTGCAGTACAATACTCATTTAATAAAATAAATACAGAGATAATTATGGTTTTATATTGTTAAATACTGTGGTTTCGTGTCGTGTTGCAAATATGTATACATAAGACATCATTCATGTACTTGTAATTTCGTTTTAAGAATTTTTGTAGTTATATCGTGAAGAAGTTATTTATTTTATGAAATGTTAGTTTCAAATTAAACAGTGATATTTAAAAAAATAACCTACCTTTCATATTTTTATATACAGTGTAGGAAAGTACCGATGGTCTATCAGAAGTTACGTGGAGCGATAAAGTAAGCCATAGAAATCCATGTGATAGACAAGGATGGCTATAATGAAGGCGTCTAATTAGTCAACGCCCATTTCGCCCTTCCACAAATAAGATCCACTTCTTATTCACCACGCGAATAAGAAAAAAATATGTACTTAATTGAAATATTTTTTCGATTTTTTATGAATTTGTTCCTTACCAAAAATACTATACAATTGCTATACTCAATTATTAATTTATTTATATTCACCACCTTAAGCTAAATCAATGGGTAAGAAAAGCTAGCAAGATTATAAACCAAAAGTGAAGGAAACATAAAATAAAAAACAGACAAATTTGTAAGTAAATAATGAATATAAGTACATTGAACAATAAATAGAAGTACAAATAGAACATGAAAATATGTACACAAGTATAAGATATGGTAAAACATGTTTTTAATGTAGGGACCATTATTGCAAAAAATGTTCATTATATACCCAGGTGAAAATTTTTAATAAATTAGTTTTGGAGTGGGAAAATAAAGCCATGACGAAAATCGGGAGCTAATAAAGCAAGGATAGTCCATTCGGCCAGTTAGAATTTCATAGAATGATTTCTTGTGAACTATATATCTTCACTTTTTTACAAAAAATCTATTATACATACATCTAATGAAAATGTTTTTTTTTTTCAGGATTCCGATGATGAAATATCTCACTTAGAATGGGAAACGGTCCGAGTCAGATTCGTCAAAGCGGGTACGTTGAAGAAACTAGTCGAAGCTCTCTCCACAGATGACGGTGAACTTGAAACCACATACATCAACGTCTTCTTAGCCACATATAGAAGCTTTTCTACTCCCAAAGAGGTTCTGAAGCTGCTGTTGCAAAGATATGAGGAATTATTAGATGCGCCACAAAATGGGAGACCCGATCAACATGAACAACACAGAAAGTAAGACTTATTTAATATGTGCACTCAATAACTTCTGTTTTACATAGACGCTGATGGTCAGTGTGCTGAATATCAGACATAAGTACACTGATGATTGCTTTTACTTCTTCCTGTTACACACAAAGGCTGATTGATCAACTTGGTGACCATTACATAAAGCTACGATGTTTTAAGTCTTTCATGACTAAAGGTGTGGTAAATGGACAACTATCGCATAACTGCACTGATTTTCGTTGGCACTGATATATGTGTGTGACATATGACCATGTATGTGGTCGATGTTGTGATAATCAGTTAATAGTTTCGATAACAAGTACCATTTGCAAGCATAGAGATTATATAAGTTACAAATATTATAGTAACTATCAATACCTTTCTGTCAAGAGTCAATTTCACTATAACTCATCAGTGTGCTGATTGTCAGCATTTATTTGAAACAGGGTTTAAATGGTAGCTTTCACCTGTAGACCGGAAACTAAGCGTTTTAGAAATATACTATATCAAGGAAATATACCACAAATCACTTGTAATATAGCCTCCCGCAAGGAATGCATCGACTTAACAAACACCCTGTATTTTTCTATCTTGATGTTGATGCTCATGTACACTATCCTTGAACTAATGTAAGTAAAATCTCTTCCATCAAGAAAACGGTGATCAAAGTGAATAGATTTTATTTAGCTCAAAATTATGGTACATGCTAGCAACAATACCTAATATATTTCTTTGCTTTTATATAATTATTCTTGATTCAAGAAATCTTTTTTTTGTCCGCAACAAAATTTGTATATTTGGAATCGAGCAATTCTGAAAAATATCTACAACTTTTGTATTTACCGTTTATAAAGGAGTAATAACCGAGATAATCCTACAGTCAAAATGTAATTAATAAGATGATCCTGTACTATTCATATAATCTGTTCTATAATGAACCCTGCCGAAAAGATTGAAGTAAAAGAAACTGAAATAGGGATTAAGCATCTACATACTTTTTCTTTTTTCTATAAACATAGGTTAATTAAAACTATTTATATTTACTTGTTTACATTTGTGGTTGTCATATCATCCGTTTTCACAAAGACATAATCAAATGGACGAGTAATGATGAAAACAGCACAGATCTCAATTTTCTTGTTTATTAAAAAACAGTCGCCTTTATTGATCGACCGTTTATGTTGCTGTAAGGTCAATTAACCTCAAAGGTCGCATTACAGGACCAATAGAATTTAATTAAAAGCTATTAACTTTCAGTAATTATTTAAATTAAGAATTATTATATACACGTTTTCGTTGGCTTGAAAAGGAAGGCTAAAAAATTTTCCATCTCGCAATTTATACAAAAAATCCAGTCCTATCAAAATACTTATGTATTTCAAGTAAATGTGTTTAATATTTCAGTGTTTTTAATGTATTATGAAAAACATTTTTTTCAGAAATTCAAAATTAATTTAAACTACTTTAAAATTAATANGCTAAGTTCGCTGACACTTTTGGAGAGAACGACAAACAATTACAGAAGGTATTTCAGAAACAGAACCATCACATAGCAAATATTTCGTTTGGAACCATTCCATACTTGGGAACTTTTTTGACGGACCTCACCATGATAGATACAGCAATTCCCGACACTATCGGAGACGGTTTGATAAATTTCGATAAGAGAAGAAAGGAGTTTGAAGTACTGGCTCAGATTAAACTCCTTCAAGGTGCCGCCAATGCTTACCACTTCACTGAAGATCCGGCGTTCGATCGCTGGTTCGATACGATTCTCGTATTGGACGATAGGGAAGCTTACCAGCTTAGCTGTCAGATCGAGTCTTCCGCCACTGGTAACAACACAAAAATGAAGAAACGGAGCACCGGGCATCAGAAGAACGACTCCATCGCTAGCACCTCCAGCAGCAACAGTTCCCAGTTTTATTGCGACATCGATAGTACCCCCAGTTCGCCGCACAATAGTATCGACAGAAAGTTGAGTCCGTCTCAGATGTCTAATTCTAGCAGCAACTCTTCCTTACCGTCGCTCGACATCTCGCTAAATAGTTCCCATTCGGGCAGTGCAAACAATAAACTCCAAGTACCTTTCAATAACTCTGGGACTTTGAGTAACCAATCGCAGAAAAGCAGTCCGGAATTCTATATAATTAAAGTGACATATGAAACGGACAATGCCGAGACCGACGGTATAGTGTTGTACAAAAGTATTATGTTGAGTAACAACGAAAGGACGCCCCAGGTTATTAGAAACGCCATGTATAAGTTGGGACTTGAAGGCAATCCTGATCAATATACTCTTGCTCAAGTGTTACCTGAAAAAGGTTGGTATAATTTCAGTTTATGATATTTATTGTTTCAGTTTTAATTATCAGTGATTTCTTGGATTTTTTCTTGGTAAAATACGTAGGTTGCTCGGTAAGTCTTGTCGTTCGTCACAATATCAAAAGTTAAATGGTTTATTTTTATATCTACATATAGTATGTACATATTCATGTTTACCCGTCAAAACTTGTCAGTAGCTAGGCACGCATTGACGAGTAAACAGAGCGTGAATGTGCGAGTATGGAATCTCTCACGAAGTCTCAAATTCGCGCAATAATTTATTATAATTTTTGTCATGAATTTTCTTGTCAACAATACCACGAAGATATGAAATATTTATTGGATGATATTGCACCATCCACCAGGACTGTCAAATAATAGTATAAACAGTTTGAAAGAGACATTTTTGAATTAAAGGATGGTCTGCGTCTGAGCCGGC